TCCATGACAAAACCAAATTGAAACAATATCTTCCACTAACCCAGACTTACAGAGGAAACTAGAAGGAAAACTCCAACACAGGAGTAATCACACCCAAGAAAACACAGAAAATAAGTGAGTTCACACCTACAAAAACAAAAGAGAAGCACACATTCATAATGGCACCAATATCAAAAGTACAAGAACCAACACTCACTGGTCATTGATATCTCTCAATATCAATGGACTCAGTTCCCCAATAAAAAGACACAGACTAACAGAATGGATGCGAAAGCAGAATCCATCTTTCTGCTGCATACAAGAAACACAGGTCAGCCACAAAATAGGCATTACCTCAGAATAAAGGGCTGGAAAAAGGCTTCTCAAGCAACCAGACCCAAGAAACAACAGGAGTAGCTATTCTAATATCTAATAAAATAGACTTTCAAGCAAAAGTAATAAAAGAGATGGGGCAGGACATTTCATAGTCATCAAAGGAAAGATCCACCAAGATGGCATCTCAGTTCTGAGCATCTGTGTCCTAAGTGTAAGGGCACCTCATTCATAAAAAACATCACTAAAGCCTAACACGTTGAACCCACACATTAATAGTGAGAGGCTTCAGTACCCTACTCTCACCATGGACAGGTCCACGAGACAGAAACTAAACAGAAATAATGACACTAATCACCATTATGAATCAAATGGACCTAACAGATATGGGAGACAGCCAACTCCTGACACTCCTAATGATGTTCTGCTGTCCTTGCAGAGGGCTTTCTCTTACACAGACACAGCTGCCTGCTTGTGGATCACTTTGCCATAGCTAGGCTGCCTTGTTTGGCCTCACTGGAGGAGGCTGAGCTTAGTCCTGGTGTGACTTGATGTGCTGGGATGGGTTGGTGTGGAGAGCTGGCTCACCTTTCCTGAGGAGAAGAAGAGGGGCGAAGAGGGGGAGGCTGTGATTGGGATATAAAGTAAATGAATAGATAGATAGATAGATAGATAGATAGATAGATAGATAGATAGATA